TTATTAACTTTTATTACGGTGATTATAGTTTAAAGCTAGCGAAGATCACACTTGGGAACAAACAGTCGGATCAAGTTCATCAGTAAAAGTACACACAGGTCCATTAAAAGAAAGAAAAGCCAAAAAAAACCGATGGGACAACTGAAAAGTTTATTTATAAGTAACAATAATTTGATTTTGTTTGATCTTAAACGTATTTAATTATTTAAATTATAAGACTTTATAATAACTTAAGTAGTTGTTTTATTAGTTAAAAATTGAAGCTGGTTTTTAAAATATGCAAAGTTTTATTAAATTTTTCAAAATATAAAAAATCCGTTCACTAATGATATATTTTATTTGTACACATAACTTTAACAACTTGCCATCTCGTGTAATCAGTGCCAGCCTTGGGTAGGGGCCAGCGAGTACTGTGAAAAATATCCCCATCTGTTTTGAGATTGTGCCGGGGTTATTTATTCTGGTTATTTATTTGGGCCTCACACAATAGTATGACATTTTGGGCCTCGCTATGTTAACAATTCTATTCTAAGGCCTCGCCTAAAACATATTGCCCCAGCCTAGTTTCACCACAAAGCCGACCTCCATGTCATGTTTGGTGCACTATATTTGTGAACTCACTGTATTCCAAACTATACGTAAAAAATAGTAAAATWAATTGATGCTTAGTTTATAACTTAAAAAATTGTATTATGTTTTGTACTGTAAGAAATACAAACAATAAATTAGTACTTAGTAGTATTGTCATTACGCATAATGTGAAACATAATTAATTATTTTTAAAACGTTTTAAAAGATAGTAGTTATTAATTATTCATTACCAATAATCCATCATTGTATCATCAACAAATATGAGTTTTCATGATTAAGTTACAATTTTAACAATATTTAGTGGTTCTACATATTTTGTACTGTGTACATATTCTATATATACAGTTCAGTCGTCATAACTTGAAGTAAAAGTGGGATAAAAWTTCATTATGAGACACTTAACTTGATTTTATCTAAACCAAGTTCTTGGGGAATAAAAAAAAAAATTGAGTAGTCAAGTTTTTCGAGTTGTCATGACTCAACTGTATATATATATATATTATACTATTTACACCAACTAAGCGCAACTCTGCTGTGCATTCAAATTACCGCCGTTCAGTCTAATTTTTCCCATCATGTGATCGCCATTACCACTAGTTATGCAAAAATTTAAATTTATTATGGTTGCCACCTAGTTGTGCTTGCTCTTACATTAGAGGATAGAGAGTAGATTCATCTCTCGATTTACATGCATTTTAATTACCAGCATCTAATGTGAACATKTTTWTACCTATGATACATAATTTATTTTACTCTGTAAAACAATAGGATAATTTCAATCACAAATAGTTGATAAGTACCTGAAAATTGTAGCTCACTTTTTTCTGGCCATATTACTGTACTGATTTGCACTGGATATATAAACGAATGATAAAAATAAATTGTCTCCTTATGAATATTCAGTTATTCAGTAAATATGTAGTTATTTTTACTTTAGTAATATTTTTGTATTGTTTGATTATTGATTTGTCTTTTAAAACTTATTATTAAAATTATCTCATTAATGCTCTAAAATTCATATAAAATAATTTAGCACTAATCTTGTTGTATACTATTGAAAAATGTATAATAAAATAAATTTTATTGTAAGTATAACAATGTTGAATATTTATTTATTTTTAAAATTTATCTTTTAATACTTCAAGCTATATTAATAGTATTATAAAATAACTTAATTACTACTGTTATTTATAACTACGAGTTATATTCAAAATGTTTATGTTTTGTTAAAATTAATATATCATCCAGATTTATCAAACAATTACCAATTAYATAAATAAACAAAGAAAATTTAAAAAAAGAAGTATATGTATAATACAAAATTGTGACTGACATAAAATATGAGTTTCGTATATATAAAAAAAAAAAACAAATTGTTCACCATGATTGTGAAAAATACTTTGAAACAAAACTTAATTAGTTTGGTTAATAAGATAAAACAAAGAGTACTTATAAATAGTAAATAGAATAAATAATACAAAAATAAATTTAGATTTAAAAACAGCTATCTAAATAATAATAATAATAATAAATAATACTTATAAAAACAAATTTTTAATTACTGTTGAATTGTATATTAGGGTTGAAGCAAACTTTTTTTTGATTTTCCTCTGGTTCATCTAAATTTTCCAATATGGAAGAAGTAAAACTGAATTCTGATGCATCACTGCAATAAGGATTTTTATTAAATTCATGTTTATTAAATAATTTG